TTAACTTCTTCTATTCAGTTACCTGGGCCTCGCATATTCTCGACCATTCAGTATCAAATATCTGACCTAGTATTCAAACAGTGATCATACCGACAGTCAGATCAGTTGCATTATATTTGGTTCAAGTTTATGCATTTTGGCCGATGATAGCAAGTCGATGCGTGGTGCCGAAACTGAAAACACCCACGGGTCTGACCACGTTCTTGTTCGTATTCGCCTGAAGGTTCACCTCCCATCTGCGCCCAAAATGCGATGTGCGGGACGTCCTTATGTCGCAACACTCCGGTAAGCGAGCACTACCAAGGTCCTAAGCACAGAAATCCTGTCCCGTTTTACGACCTTAGTCGTCAGTGAAGGCAGTATTAAGTAGTAATAACTGAAGAAATCCGTCAATGAAGCAGCTGAGAAAGTTCTTGGATTCAATCAGCGGCGCCTCGGTGACTGGATCAGCCGAATAAATCTGCAGCTGTCTACTCAGACAGCTCAAGCTGGGTCCTGCAACGATGCTCCCTTCCACGAACTCGTAAAGCTGACAGCAAAGTCGGCTAGGGATGGTCCGCAAAACTAACGGTCCAAAAAAGCGACATCTACGTAGCAAGCCTCATTTTGTGACACTCGTAAACTCCATCGAATGATCGGCCAAGTTAGTAATAAGCGTTCGACACTCTGTGACTTTGTTCGCAGTTCGAATTGCGGCTTTATTGTTGACAACTCGGCCTAGGTCGATCGCGGGCGTGAGCACTTCGAGCACCTCTTCAACTTTGAGCAGCAACCCATCACACCATCCCTCTCGTTCGCAGCGGAGTTTTATCCCTCCCCAGCCTGTGCAGTGTCGTGCGAACTTCTCTCTGAATAGGAAGTTGCCAATGCAATACAGAGGCTGCGCAACAACAAGGTGTCCAGAGAGGATGGCATTCCCGCTGAAATCTACGAGTCTTGTGTTGTCATCCTGGCGCCCTGGCTCTGTGAGATGATTGAGCTAGCGTGAAGAGATGAGGTAGTTTCGGATGACTATAGTTTGGGGATCCTTATGCCTGTCTTCAAAAAAGGGAGATAAGACTAAATGCTAGAACTATTACGGTATAAGCCAAATCGACGTTGCTGCGAAGGTCTTCATTATTGTTCTTCTCAGAAGATTCTAGTCTGTATGAGACTAGGACGAGGCCCAACCAATCCGGATTCAGAGCTAGGTGCGGATGCGTAGACCAAATATTCACAGTAAGGCGCCTTTTGGCATCCCACCATGACTGCCAGCAAACGACTGTCGTCTGCCTTGTTGACTTGGCCGCTTCTTTCGATTCAGTCCGTCGTGAGTCCCTGTAGCGAATAAGGGAACTAGATGGTGTTCCAGTCAAAATCGTTGCCATGTTCAAGGCTTTCTGCCGCTCCATCACTGCGTGAGTTCTCGTCCATAACGAACTTCTAACCATTTAGTATCTGGCCTGGTGTTTGACAAGCTTGCATCCCTTCGCCCATT